CAATCATTTGAAGAAAAAAAAATGATATTTCAATTTGTTTACGTTGTACCTAATTCCCATAAAAACGCAATTTTCTTACTCTTTTAAGCTGTTCCCGAGGGCCAGACATTTCAATACTTGAAACTGAAGAAATTACCCTTTGCAGGGACGGATACAGGGGTGACCCAATGCCATGGAGGAAGTATTTTTAATTTATTCTTATGAAATATAAAGTCATATTGATGAGAAATTTTGTTGTGTCTTGAAAATACAAAAGTTTTCTTTGTTTTTGGTGCCTCGTGTAGTCACAAGGATCAGGCGTTACTGACGACCTGGAACTCTTTTTATACAATTGATATCAAGAAGAATTTGACTAAATCAAAGCTGTACAGTCGTCTGTAAAGTTTCATCCTTTACTCACAGGCAACCCTGTGCAGGCTGCAGCGAATACAATATTAGTATTGGTTAAACAAATAAAAGTAAGATATATTATACTAGAAATTCAGGGCGCTTCGCGCCCTTCTTTCTAGGCTTTTAGGGCGCTTCGCGCCCATGTTCTATTAAAACTTTTAATTGTGGCTTTATCTGTGAGCATATTCTCTTTGTACAGTATAAAACAAAAACAAAAAAAGTTTGCGGATTTCATAATAATTTTTCGCATATTTTCAAAATTTTACAAAAATAAAAAACTTTTAAACACAAATTTTTAAAATTTCAATCATTCATAAACCTTCCCTGGGGTCCCTAGATGTCCCACAAAAAATTTGGGCCCGATCGGTTCAGCCGTTTTGACGTTTATTGGATACAGACAAACAAACAAACAGACAAGCCAAATTTATATATATGTGTTGACAAAGAAATTTTTTGTGCGCTTCGTGCTCTCGACCCTTATATGTTTCTGTACCAGCCACTGCTTAGAAGCCAGTTAAATGCAGTATTTTTGCATTGTGGTGTGTGTATTGGTGCAGACATTGATTGATTGATTTACATCCTCCGTTATAGCTGGCTCTCATGTTCTAAACATATATAATATAGATATATATTTACATAAAACAATTTGTGATGAATATTGAATATTGAAAGTCTGCCTAAGAACACATAACAGGAGAACAGAACATTATGGAGTATGTTCTTCTACTCTGCAGTTAATGCAGCATGCAGATAAGATGCATGCATTGTCATTGGTCAATCCCATCCCTGTATCCTTGGCATTGTTTCTCATTTAGACGGTTTCTACCAGGAGAGAAGAACAGGAACAGGGTCTCCAACTCACGCCATTTTCTTTTTACCTTATTCAGGTTTTGGGTTGGTTCATTTCTGAGGGTTGGTTTGGTGGAGGTTTGGCAGTATTTCTCACACTTACCAATAAAACCAGGATTCCAAAACAGAGTCAGAGCTGAGATGGGGGGTTTTAAAGATATATTAAAAACACGCTCATTTCTCATTTTATACATGTAAATTCTTATATTAATTTTGTGATGAACCATTGGTAGCGTCAACTTTAACCATTGTGACCAGGACTTCAGAACAGTAAGGGAGGTCCGGACCTGTTGGTTGGATTAGGTTGGGAGGTTTTTGTAATTCCGAAACCATCTATTCCGGCCAGGATGGCAGAACTGGGTAGTTGGTTTGGATCCACCCACCAACTGGCACATGGTTGTGTCATTTCTAACCAGTGCTACCAGGATGCCAGAACAGAATAAGAGTCTAGAAACCATCATCCTTGGCACCATGGTTTAAATACAAGGCTTAAATACCAGGAGTTCAGAACAAATATAGAGAACTTTTAATTCCCATGCAATTTAAACTATAACTATTTTTAGATTTACTATTAAGTTGTGAAAATAATAAGTTAAATATATAAAAAGTTAAAAATTTCTCTTTAAATCAAGTTATATCTATAAAAGCGTGTTTTGATTTGCAAAAGCTGAAGCTTAATTTTGTCATAAAGTACTATATACGCCTATAAATAGAGGCTATATATTTCATACCAATAATGAAACTAAATACCTCAATTAAATAATTCTTTGATTTAGTATAGTGATACCTACTGAGAAAGCTATAATCAGTAAGAGTTTTGTCTTCACTAATATTTCATTATATATAACTGGCTGAAGGGCCCGGCGTTGCCCGCGAAAAAAAAAATTTGAAAATAAAATTTGAAACACTCCCCGGCCACCCTTAAACGTCCACAAAAAATCGGTTCCGCCGTTTGGCCGGCTATAGGCAACATTTATATACGAATGTCTTGCTTTATTATATAGATTATATTATATTATATTATATTATATCATATATACACAATATATTATATGTATTATATAATATCATACATTTTGATAATGATTCATTTGCTATAATAATATTGTTGACAGTGTCTGTTTGCAGTAATATTTAAGTGCAATCAATATGCACAAAACTATTTGAATAAAAAAGCTTTAAACTCCATAATCCGAAGTATAATTGACAGTTATTTATTATTTATTTAATTTTAAAAGTAAATATCAGTAGATACGCTTCTTGGTTTTGAATAAATGTTTTCGTATAAAACCTCGCATTTTTAACTTCCTCGTTAAATATTATAGATTTAATCCATAATCATTTTCAATACATAACTGTAATTACATTTTGTTTGGATAAACCAAGGTACTAATGCCAGGAAAGTTTTTTCAGAAGTTTACGCATTTTTTGTACTGCAGTGTACTGTCTTGGGAAAAGTAAACACAAGACGGATGTTATAGCCTTAAAAACGCAGACCACTTTTTGGAAATGCCAAGGCTAGGAGAATTATGTGATAATTGTTTCAAGAATCATACATGTTAAAGTAGATAGAAGACTAAATGTCACAAATAAATTCGAATATCTAAGACGACTTTCAAGTCGTCTTCCTATTGTCATGTTTCGTGGGACACCCTGTATATAAAGTTAAAAACAAGTAATGTGTTCTAAAATATAAGGCCAAACCGTCAATCCAGTCAAGTCAATAGAAAAAATCCAACTTTTTATACCAGTGTCTGGATCTTATGTAAGGACCGGAGTTTCGTTATGCCTTGGTCAACTAAATGGTTAACCACACTTCTATATTGGATTTTGACTACTAGTTGGACTATACCATAAATAAAATTCAATTCCACAAATGAGGACTGCGTACAGGCACTTGGCAGTGCATCTATTACTTTACAATGGAAAAAAACATTTAAAAAACATGCATATATGATTGGATAGGTAGTATTCTGTCCCATAATTAGCCATATTGTTGATTAGATTAGACCTATGTAATGTGCACTTTTAGTTCCAGGAAACATGACTAGGCAATTAACTTTAAACACCCCCCCCCCACTTCCCTCTCCCATACCTTCCTATTATAAGAGATATCTAATCGAGGTTATAAATATTATCATTGCCCTTGAATTAAGAAATTATTCAAGTTGGGTCATATTCAATTACCAAGAACATTGATTACTTAAATGTGTAGGGGCCAGGGGGCACCGCGTCCACCACCACAATCACAGGGGGCACGTGCCACCACTCCCTATGCTGCAGTCCTGGAATATGGGATTTATTGTTTAGACCTTATTTAAAGGAATTGAGTCTTTACCACAAACTTAGATTTTCTAATCCCTATATCTTTGCAGCCTGATTATGTAAACCTTCGATATTTCAAACAATTAGACTTTTTGATATAACAGAATTTATAGTTTGAAATATCAAAGGTCTACGACGTCGGGTTGAAAAGATATAAGGATTAAAACATTTGAGTTTGTGGCAAAAACTCATTTCCTTTGAGCTGAAAGTGCAGTTTTGTAGAGAAACACTTTAGGATTCATTTGATATTAATGAGACATATTTTTAAATAAGAGCATAAAGTCGTTTGTAATATTTCACCTGTTCTTTCAGTCAACAGAACAACAGTTTTTTTACAATTCTTAAATAACATGGACAAAACATGTAGCAAGCACTATTTTTCAAGCTCGTGCAGCATGTATACAAACAGATTGAGAAAAATAATGAACATATATCATTAAAAATAAGTTATTGAAATTCATTTTTTTTAAATATTATGCAAGTTCAGGCTAGATTGTGAAGTCGACAATTTGAAGAAACCTGCGAATAAAATTATAGAAACAGCAAAGGTTATGATGATAATGAAATAATCGGTTTTTTGGTTCTACTATGGTTTTTTGGTTCTACTCTGCTTTTCAACCGAAAATTTCTTTTTAGAAGTGTGTTCCTAAACAGCACACTGAAACAACGTGTGATATACTAACAGGGGTCAATATAATTCCCTTTTCAATCCCATTTGGGATTGACGAATTTGAAAGAAATGGGGGCAAATTCTTTAATTGGGGGCAAATTTTTTTTATATGATAATTAAAAATAAGAGCTATATAGAATCTCAGGGAGTAAATTCAAGGATAATGAAACCATTAAATGGTTTAGTAATGTATAGAAATACTATTCATTGAAATTATATTCGAAGAAGCAGGAAATGCCTTAAAAGCGATTGTTCACCTAATTAAAGCTTATAATTAAGGGGGAATCAGATAAAAATCCTCCTTGTGATTTTTCTAGTTTTCACGACTTTCAGAACTGAGTTTCTTTCTTTGTGAAGTCAATTTTAGTAAACCATTAAAATACTATTGAAGTAACTATTTGATAAAAATTATCAAATCTCTCCTCCCCTTCCTACTTCATCCTCCTTCCTATTCCCTCCTCCACCTTCCCTCCTTCCTCCTTCCTCCTTCCTCCTCCCTCCTCCCCTTCTCTCCTTCCTCCCCCCTCCTCCCGAATTTGAAATAAATATAGTTCTATTCCTCTGCTTGTAATCTTCAGGGGTACAACAAACTTCCCGGGGGGGGGGAGGGGGGCAGGAGGGGGCCTATTAAAATAATAAATATCATAGAAAAAAAGAAGAAAAAAAACCTACCAATTCCCACATACTACCTATATTTCTATAGATTCTCGAAGTTACCCCTGGATCCCGTAGACCCGCTTACCGCAAGGTTTAATAACGTCCGCAAGTTTTACTCTCCAGTCCTATCCCAGACCTAGAGCTAGTTTTAACTACCACCATGAGAATTTTACTCATTCTCTCCCTTGCTTTAACCTTACACCAAACAAATGCTCAGTTCTTTAATGCCTTAGCAAATCTTTTCCGCCCAGTGACAAATATTTTCGGCGGTGGAAACAGATTCGTCGATGATGGAACCCAAAAGCCGAAAGCCGATGGACGAGAAGAACTATTTCCGTCTGATTGTGGTCGAGAGCCGGGTTCAGGGACAGGGAAACTATGTTTTCCAGACGGTCTCCTCTGCCAAGAACGTGAGTAATACGTCATTCATTTATTCATTTAGGCATCCTTTTATTCATACATTTATTCATCCTTGTATTCATTCATCTATTCATCCTGTCATTCATTTATTTTCTGGTCATTCATTTATTCACCTAGTCATTTATTTATTTACCTAGTCAGTCATTTATTCATCCTAACATCATTTTATTCATCACAAGTCATTCATTAATATATCTAGTAATTTATATATTAATCTATTTATTAATCTAGTAGACTTAGATATGGTTTGGTCAATTGTTGGCCTTTTAGTAGTATATCTCATTCTTTTAAATATCCATGTATACACATTCTCTAAAAGAAGGACAGAGCCCACAACCCNTTCTGCCGTGTCTTAACTTTTTTCCACCTGGTAACAACCCAAGTATCCAATACGAAAGACTGGACGTAAATTATGTCCCAATGTTCTGGTGAAACCTGGCCCCAAAATATTTAGATGTTATCAGGGAAGGATGGATCAGCTAAAATGGTCGGATTCTTGGGGGAAATTTTCCACGAGGGTCTAATGTACAAGGTGTCCAGGCCGACCAGGCCCGGGATAGTAAACAAGGCCAGAAACCGTGAAGTAATCAATCATGTTTTGGGTTCTGTAGAACGTTCTTCTTTCTTCAGAAAGATAATCGAAATTTGTTAAATATGTTAAAGATAAAGCGCCTGGGGTCTATTTTTTATACATGAGAAACCATGTAGGACCCCCGGCCCCTTAACCTTGAAAACACTTTATTTTCTTGAAGTAAACCGAGGACAATCTTTGTATCCATGACAGTGTATATATTGCCGCATCAGTTCGGAGTATATGTTTTAAACCGTTCTTTATATAGTTTTCTTGACCATTAAGAAATATGATGAACTGATTTAACCCAATGGATTTTAAATTGTTGAAAGATAAATAGATTAATAATAAGAAAGATAATTTTTTTTTGCTCTAATGAATTTTAGCACCTACACAGAGCACATCCGCTATAATAAAGTATGAAAATTAATGTGTTTTTTTATTGAAAATTCAATGAAGCATTTAACCTGGTAACCTTGGTTTATTGTTGTTTCTTGGAAAATTAACACGGTTTCATTCAAGGCAAACTTATGTTTACTAATTCCTGTACAATGTACAAGGAGAGGCATAAAACTTAATCCAAATAAAAAACGTACTTAATATATAAACAAGGACTTAATCCAAATAAAAAACGTACTTAATAAATAAACAAGGACTTAATCCAAATAAAAACTTAATCCAAAAAAACTTTATCCAAATAAGAACTTAATCCAAATAAAAAACTTAAACCAAATAAAAAAACTTAATAAAAATAAAAATAGAGTTGGATAGTTCGATTTTCGAACTATCGAAAGCATTTCAAAAATGTTGTTCAAAATTGTAAATAGAATGTTAGATATAACTCACAAATACTCTGTTAATACTGTCGAACAAAATTTCAAAATTGCAAATAGAATGGTAGATCACGCTGAACTAGACAGGAGAAGAAGATCAAATTTTTGGGACATTACTGTTGTATTTTGGGACATTACTGTTGTATTTTTGGACATTACTGTTGCATTTTGGGACATTACTGTTAGAATTTGGGACATTACTGTTGTATTTTGGGACATTACTGTTGCATTTTGGGACATTACTGTTGTATTTTGGGACATTACTGTTGTATTTTGGGACATTACTGTTGTATTTTGGGACATTACTGGTAAATCTGTTTACCATGTTGCATTTTGCATGTTGTACCTGCTCTATAGTTTTTAGTTGACGCTAAATTATAAGAAAAGGAAACATATTCAGTTACATATATACGTATAAGAAATTCAAAACATTTAGCTGTTCTTCTCATGAGCTTTTCAATAAAAACAGTTATGATTGTAATGTCAAATTTTCATCTCTTTGGGTATTCTCGGCATTCGGCATAGTGCAGGGAGTAAGGAATAGAAGCTGGAGGTATAACTGACGTGGTTTGCCCCACCATATGATTATGCATGCTTTGCAGACGAGTACTCCATTTGTATATAAAATGTTCAGAATAGGTTATTGTATACGCAGTAAATGTACATCAGACAAATACTTCTGATACAAATGGAGTACTCGTCTGCAAAGCATGTATAATCGTATGGTAGGGCGTTCTCTCTCTCTGTTATATTTTAGTTCCAATATAATGTTACAGCGTAAAATTATTCAACCGATGTTTTCTTGATTTACAATTTGGCATTGGGATGTTTCAAATTGATTTGCATGCAATTTGATTTGCATTTATGCAAAGATTTTTGCACACAATTATTGTTTAATTCAAATTTTAAACATTTTATGTTAATTGTTTAATTTGATGGCTTTTGATTAAACAATGGCCATTACTTCTTTTCATTTTTACATAGTGCAATATTAAGCAAAAATAATGGATGTCAAATTTATTTAGTTGGTCCCATTAGCAAAATTTATTGAACACCCAAAAGATTTTCTTCCCCATCTTTCATTCATTTAGATTTACCTTAAAATTGACCCTTCATCCTTAATGATACATGTATTTCCACTAAAAGGAAATATGTTGGTATAAGTCTTGTGTCAGGTGTATAACCTTGGGAATGCCTGGTTCACAATATTAAATTCAACGCCATCTGTTGTCCAATTATCTAACTAGCAGGCAATAATAAACATACTTTAAGTTAAGCCAAGATACCAACATTAAAATGTTTAACAACTTTGTTGGTGAGATCACAGCTGATAAGACTTTCAGAATAATTCAAAATTGTTTTTTTTTATTTTTTGTTCCCAGCCGCTGTAAAACTTTTTTTACCCAAATTATATAATATACAAGGCTACATACTTTTTGATTGGTGTTAGGTACTTTACCAAGTAGCGATTTCCCAAGCGGCAACTTCCCAAGTCTGTTCTAGCCTCGGCGCTAGGCCCATGCTAGCCAATCCCAGCCGCAACGCTCGGCCCCCATTGCAGCCTGCGGCGCCTTAGAGGGCCTAACCTAACCTTTGGGAAGTTGCCGCTTTGGAAATTGCACATTTGGGAATTACCACTTCGGAAATTGTCAGTTGGGAACTCGCCCTTGGGAAAGTATCTAACACCTTGCAATTAACTGCAATTAGGTTCTCTCTTTGTCAATGAGATAATAGGCCAATAAAAGACTATATTGAAGGTAGACACCCTAATTTAACCATTAAGATCGTCACATTTTAGAAGTTTCAGATCGTCTTTACAGTCTCATCATTAGTGGGTATCTCTGTGTTTACATTTTTCCTGAACTGAAAGCGTAATTTTAAGTGACCCTCCATGGAAATATGGCAATGCCCGATTCACAAGATTACTCTTGTAACCTCTGATCCATAATGTTGTTAGTAGATTTTGTCCTTTTAGTAATGATTGCGCAAGTAAAAAACCCACAATTAAAAAAAGACTACAGTAAAAACCAGAAACCTCTGAAATAGGAAGACACCTTTATTAGACTCTTAAGTTATGACTTTAACTACAGTGATAACCGGAATACTGTAGAATAGGAAGACGACATTAAAGGAATACTGAAATGCTTTTGTGTTGTTTCAAAGCAGCTTTACAAGTAAATCACTTATTTAGTGAAATGGGTCAGTTGGCACTGTACAATTGCTGTGTTTCATTCAAATTGGACCATTTAAAGTTATAATTTAAATTTAAAAGTCGGCTTCATATTCCAGAGCTTTCTGGTTATCACTGTAGTCAAAAATGCATAGGACACAGTAACGATGCAGAGTAAACAGACCCATTTTACACATTTATTGATTTAATAAGTATTTAGTAAAACTATTTGCTTTGTAACAACATCAAATACACTTAGTATTGCTTTAAAGTCGTCTTCCTATTCCACAGTTTTCTTGTTATCACTGTGGTTTTTGAAATTTTAAACATTGCTATTTAATTCATACTTTATCAGAACAAGCTTTTAAGGGTATCGTTGTGAATCTAAAGCATTGTGTTGAAATTACGCTAATAACAGCTTCTCTTTGGCAGTTAAATCATGTTATGAAATATCTATTCCTATATATTCGGTGAAAATGATCTTTGACAGATCTTTTACAGATAACATAATCATGATTCATGATATTAACGTAATCCATGCTATTGATAACCAGAAGTGTCTGGATTAGGAAGACGACTTTTAGACTTAATTTATTACTTTAAATAATCCAATTTGCATGGGATACATCATTTGTGCAGTGTAAACAGACCCATTTCACTTTATTTGTGATTTAATAAGTTTCAAGTATAACTAATTGCTTTGTAACAACATCAAATACACTTAAGTATTGCTATTAAGCCGTCTTCTTATTTCAGAGTTTTCTGGTTATCACTGAATATACTTTTATACTGTTAAGAAATTAATTTTAAATACATAACAAACGTACGCTGCATTAAGGCGAATAATCGTTAAATTGAATGCACTTAAATGTTTACAAATAATTAAAATTGTTATTTGTAAACAATTTCGGGGTGGGGGCGAAGGGCCCCCCCCCCTTCGCCCCCATGTTCCATGGGTGGGTAACATAACTAAATCCTCTGTAAGCAACAATAATGGATATTTTAAAAGTCGTCTTCTTCTCCGAACGGTGAAAGATGGTATTTATCTATATTACTGGAAGACGATATTTATTAACAGTTTCCATTTAATAAAAATTCTATCTCTAGCATTATATATATACTTACATACAAAGCGGTCCAATATCATATTAAATTATCTCCAATATTTAACACCAAAATACGCACATATAATAATCGAAAAATCTACCATTTTCTATAAAACAATTTCTATTAGTCTTATTAAATTTTTCAAATATTTTCTGATTTGTCCCCCAAATCGTAATTTAGCCCCATTGACGCGGTCTAATTTGATGTGGGACTATAACATTTACAATATACATAGTTACTGATAATGCAGATGAGACTTTAATGGTCCGACCAGAAACTCAATCTTTTGGTTGAACTTGACTTTCTAGT